CTGCTTGAACGACCTGCGGAGGCGGCGGCTTGACGATGTACCCGAATTGTGGCGGGTTTGAGCTCGATTTGCTTCTGGGTTCGGCCTTGTTCAAGCCTCGCGGAGGTGCCTTGTAACCGAATGCACTCTGAGTCCGAACCGGAGATCTGGCCCTTGGCGGTGACTTCCTCGGGATGTCTGCCTTTGCAGGCGCTGGAGAAACTGCCTTGGGGACCTCCTTGGGCACCGGTGGCTTGCTGCCGAAGATGACCTTGGGAGCGGCCTTTGGGGGCGGCGGTTGAACTGCCCCGATTCTTCGGCTGTGAAGCGCGATGGGCTCGGAGTGAGTCGGCGCCTCGTAAACGCGCCGAGGCACGTATGCTGACCTGCCCGTCCTGATGGACTCCAAGTTTTGCGGTGGGTCCTCGTCCGAGCTGTAGGCGTCGAGGCGGAAGGTTTCCGCGGGCGCCGGGCGGCGGTCAGGAGACCGTGAGCGTGAGCTCGTGGAGGACCTCCTTGGCGGGTCCCTCCACGTCTCGTCAGCGAGGAGGTAAGGATCGGCTTGGCGAAGCTGCCCAGACGTCCGTTGCGCTCGCCGACGAGGAGCCGCTTCACGTGGTTGTGATGCCTCCCGCACCAATACCCAGGTACCGTGTTCGTCAAACCTCGTCACAGGGTAAATGCTATTCTGTGGAGCCAAAACGATGGGCCGAGTGGCTAGGGAAGTTCTGGATGGCCTTCCCTCCCGCGCAAGCGCGGGTTCAACACTATGGGCCCGTGGTTCCACAGGGGCAGCAGCAGTTGGTCCTCGTCTCGGTGATGTCGATGGAGACCTCGACCTTCTTGGCGATGGGGACCTCGATCTTTGTGTTGATCGCTCCCTGCTGCTCTCCCGCCGCGTTTCCGCAGCTTTAGCGTATACCCCGCGAAGAGTTGACTTTGCGGCTTGTCTTTCCTCTGCAGATGGCCGAATGCGAGGCAAAGGAGTGCGCGAATCTTGCAACCAGGAGGAAGCTGATGGAGGCGTCGGAGGACGAAGCCAGTCCGCTGCACTGCTTGATGCTCCCGCCGCGCCTGAGGCTGCGGCTTGATCCTGAGATGGCGCACCCTGCGGCAATACCACTCCTGTGGTTTCAACCAATGCGAGACGCTGCTGATAAGCGTTGTCCGCGGCCTGGATCACGTCGAAGGCTTCTTGGTCAAAATTCCACAGGTGCCAACTATCCAGTGACTCACGCCAGGAAAAGAGCGCCTCGACCTGTTGCTTCGAGGCGTCCGCAAACCTGATCCACCGGAATCGTCTGTTCTGCCGCTTGTACTCGTCGACGACGATCTGTTGCAGAGTGTTGTACAATCGGGCACGCGGCCCTTTCCCACCGCGTGTGCCGCGGTGAGGGCCGACTTCCATGTGCGACCAACAGGTCGCAGTCACGGAAGGGTTCGTTTACCCGAAAAGCGTTACGGCTGATAACCACTCAAAGGAGAGGGAAACACAGTTTTGTCAACAACGGGGGAACCCGGGACCTTAAAAGGAACGAACCCCTCCGTGACTGCGACCTCTCCCTTAACCTTGGGGCTAGCGCGGTGCAACGCGCTGTTTTCAGCACTTGAGCCAAAGCAGTGATTGGATCATGCTTTGGCAACCACTTGAATGTACAACATGCAACTGACTACATGAGAACCTACCTCATGTACCTCTGGGCCATAAATGTCATCGTGATAATTGACTGAGATACCCCTGCTTAACCTTTTTGGGGCCATGACTGAAAACGGGCCAACAAGGGGAAACCAGGTCAAAAGGTCGATTCGCTTTGGGCAACTGAGATTGAGCAAAGCAGTTGGGCTCCTTGGCCATCTGGGTCGCAGCCAATGCCTTCCGCTGGAAGAGCTTCCCATTGTACTGCACCGTCCTGAGCTTGAAAAACCGAGTTGCCGGGGCCCCAAAGCCACAGGGCTAGAGCCGTCTTAAGGCTAGAATGGTTCTGAGAACCAGCAGAGCTAGGGTAAGGGGGCCCTGATGGGAAGGCATCATGTAGCAGGGGACTGCCCTCCCGTCAACATGGAACCAGACGAGAGGATTTATGTTCTTTCAGGAACCACCACTCATTAGTAGATTACCCCGGCCACGTATGTTAGGCCATGTCTGGATGCCAGAGGCAAGACGGCAAGCACCTACAGGTATGCTAGGTCTGGACATGTCAAAAAATATGAGGAAGGCTCTTGCAAGAACCGGACCTGATCAGCCCTCGACAATGTCCTTTCCACACAAGGAGGTGGGAAAATTGGGGCATTTGGGTGGCTACAAATCACAATGGCTGTGTCCTGTTGAGTTGCAACTAAATTCAGCGCCATTTTCCTCCCTTCAGTTTCTAAGGTTCCGAAGGCTCGCCGGAGGCGAGGGAGCCAATCCAATGTTTCTGCCTTAGGATCGGAGCAGGCCTGGGTTCCAATTGAACAAACGGGTATGCGGCATGCTTGCTTAAGCCAGTGGTGCCACCCTGGGACCAGTGGTGCCACCCTGGGACTTTAAAGCAAACAACATGGCCCTATTCTCAAGCTCTCGCTCGGGAAAAGACCCCCAAAGAAGACAACTCTCCACTCTAACTTTGACATCTCCTAAAAAGCCTTGCCCGTGAAACAGCCTTGCAGAGTTGCTTATTTGCTCGGTGCCCAGGGGGAACAGGCAATGCTGTTCGTGAGGCATTGCTTGGGACACCTGCCCCCCCGCCCTGCCCCAGGTCGTCACCGCGGAACAACACAAACAGAAGCAGCCCAAATAGTTTGTGTGTGTGTGTCCCTCTCTCTCCCGCTCTCATTGTCTGTGCGTGCGTGCACGGGCGCATGAGCAGGCGGGCGTGCGGGCGGGCGCGCGTTCGGGCGGGCGGCGTTGGGGGGGGGGGTGTGGGGGGGGTTGCTGAGCCTGTGTGCGTGTTGCGAGTGTGTGCGGCGGCTGGGTGCGTGCACGCGAGCCTGTTGGTTTGTGCGCTTGTGCGCGCTTGTGCTTGTGTTTGTGTTTGTGTGGGTCCCCCCCTCTCTCTGTGTCTCTTTTTTTTTGGTGCTCTTTTGGGCTTGTTTTGAAGGGAGACCAAAAGGACACCATCCCTTTTGAGGTTTGAATTTGACAAAATGGCGAAGGGCCATGGCAAAACGCCTGGGATCCACTGGGAAAGGTTTTGGACATGTTCAGCATCCTCTGGGATCCTCGTGCCACTGGTACCAAGCACTGCGATTGCGGTTTCCTAAAACAAGGGAGGACAATGGTTGACAAATCGGGGACTTTCATGCAAAAGGGGAGCCCGTTGGTCAATGTTGAAAGGACGCCTCAAAAAAGAAAAAGGGCACCGCCGGTCTGAGCAATCGCGAAGCAACATAGCATCGTGTGTTTGGAATGCGCAGCTCGCAGTGGAGCAAACCACCCTGGTCTCACTTTCGATCGGGTGGATTGGCCAGAAAAAGTCTGAACTGTTTGTTTACGACTCAACTGGTCTTCCCGAAAAGGAATAAAGTCCAGGAACTCAGGGAGTGGTGGTTGCAAAACTAAAGGGCTGTAAGCGGGATTGTTGAGTATCCGCACCAATCAGAATTCGACAAAGGCCAAGGGGATACCACTAGCAAAGGGATTCAGGATTTGAACAAGCCGAGGACGCGGACTCGATGCGACGGAGGCGTAACTGTTCAGCTCAGCTTCTGGGACATGGCGACAGCAAATGGAAGCAAAGGAGTCGAAGCTTCGAACAATTGGCGAGAAACTAAGCAATCTCGCTCGTAAGTTGTGTGTGTGTGTGGGTTGCATCTTGCTCTGAGTTCATGTACGTTGATGTTCCATGTAGTTTGTGTCATGCCTCCGTATCTTTGTGTCGGTTTTCGTCTACGCAGCTGTGCGTCCACCTGTATAATACGGTATGTGTGTCTCTGTGTGTGTGTGCGCGAGACAAAGTCCTATGATCTATGCCATTCTGCTCATGGACTGTACAACTTGAGCCATCCATCCAGGTGTTCCTTTTCTTGGACCCTTTTCGGAGGGTTTGTACGGGGACACGTGAAACCACCGAATTGGGACAGCTGGCTATGGTACTCTGGCTAGAGATCCGAAGGGCATGCAACGCGATGGGATGCCTTTCAAGGGCTGGCTGTTGAATAGGGAGTCTGAAAAAGAAACAACCCATCCCCTTTTGGTTTCCTCTTGGGAAAAAAAAAACACCACTGCTGGCCTATTTCGCACCCGGGAAACCCAACAACAAATGGGGGCCCATTTTGGAGTCTCGCCGTAGGCCGACGGCACGCCTCAAGCAAATCAGCAAACTCCATGCTGTCCTAACCACCAAAGCATTATCCAACAAACAACTACCACCTACCCCTATATAGCCACTACGGAAGGGTATCTACCAAGTAATGGCTACTGGTTCGGGGCATCTTAGAACCAAGTCCGGCATCCCGCCTTGAGGGGTATTCCTTCGGACCGAGCACACCTGCCTTGCATCCCCAGTCCGCTTCTCATTTTGTCCCACGACCGCATTTCTTCATGGGAGGTAGCGGTGGCAACTCGGCAACTCGTTTCTCCATCTGAGACGCCACAGTGCCTCTTCGCCAACCATGCCAAGGGCAAAGGAACCCACCAATGTGGTTGCCTCTTGTTTCTGCCCCGTGGCATCATTGTCTGCTCTTTCTGGCAATGGTTCTGTTTTCAAATCAGCAACGCACTGGGCACGAAGAGGTCCAAAGAATTGGGAGAAAATCCTGATAGAGCATCTGCCGCTAGAATTCACCAAATATCTGTGTGCCTCCATTCCTACCTTCCTTCCTGTGGTTCGTCCCCTTCAAAGCTTCACCTCAAACCTTGGATTCAGCATATCTCATCACCGGTCTTGTCGAAGGCAACATCAGGGATCCTTACATTATACACCTGAAGATTGCCTTGTAAATGGTGGTTTCCCTGTATTGTGGTTGAAACAACCATGTTTTAAATGGGCAAAATGTATCTTTGAAGGAGCCCTGAACATTGTTGGACGTGTCAATACATCGACCCCCCCAGGTTTCTAGTTGGCAGATCGAGTCCCTTCCGTCACTCCGAAAATTCAGCCCTGGCATGCGGCAACCTGGGCGCAAGCAGCTGGCTTCACCAAAATCGGAACTTTTTCTTGGTGTTCTTTTTGAGGGTGGCTTTTCGTGAAGATGGCTCCCTCTTTTGATATACCCAAATCCCGTTTCTGGATAATTCAGCCTGGCGGGGAGTCATTCTAGCAGGAGGTGTGGCCACCATGGAATGCCGCTCATTTTTCGAGCGACCCGCCCATCGCTCCCCTAGAAGCCGCTGAATCCGCGGAATCCCAATGTTCGAGCCGAACCGAACCCGAGGCTCTGAGAGAAAACAGGCCCTTCTAATGGCTTGACCCAAACAGGAACATGCAAAACACAGCAAACAACAGTGCTAGCAATCTTGACCCCGCCTTCGCATGATGGACATGATAGGTGCTTCGCACTAAATCGCAAAAGTATCCCCTCGTTTTGTCATCCTGAGCGGTGGGTTGGTATACTGGCAACGGAAATACTTGCAAGATTTACAGTATCTACGTAGCAGGCTGCTCAATTGTCAAAAATAAGTGGCTCACACCTATGTAGATGTTAAAATGCGCTGGTCACTGCTATGTTTTGCTCGCTTCAACTTCGGAGGCTCTTTTCCATGGGCATGCAGATCCGGTGACGCGACTCGATTCGCGTTTGGGGTTGAGAACACACAACTGTCGAGGTTCCCTGAACCCTCTGATCGTCAGTTCTGATTTGGAAGAGCAGCACCAGCCCAGGATGTTAACCAACAAAATAAGGGTGGGAGCCCACCAAACAAAAGGAAGAAGGGGTATGATCGTTGACCATAGGTGCCATTTTCGGACAATGGATGTCCCCGGCAGGTATGAAACGACCAGGTCAACTGGGAGTCGCCATCTATTTTCTACCAAAACGCCCAAAAAGGACACCTATGGGTATCTGATACTGCACATGGCCGAGCCTTCTAAAACCAAGGCCAGACTTTGGTGAACCGGCGCCCTCGCGCAAAACCGAGACATCCGCTTTGGTTCATAACCGCATGGTGTCCTCCCACGCAAAGCAAAAGGTTCCTGGATTTGGTGAAGCTTGGGCAACAAAGCTTTGCCCAGATTCCTGGAGTTCCATGATCTACATGGGCAACTGTCTTGGGGAGTTCAAAGATGGACCTTCCAAAACCCGAGAACGGAGGGAACCACAAAAAAGCCCCCAAGGTCAGGGTTGAACCTCAAGGCTCTGGGGTCGGGAGGCCTCAGAAAGCACCTAAATACCATAGAGTTGTAGGGAAACAGATCCAAATGTTGAGCAGAAAACGACAAATCACATAACTCCGCATCCCACTTGATAGGGGTGCAATCGGAAAAAAAAAAGAAAGAAAAAGGCTGAAACAAAAAGGGTGAAAACACCTTGAGGCGAAACGGCGGGCATCCATTGGCTGCACTGCCTGAAATCAAGAAGCCCCAAATCATGATACAACCGTGGAGCAAGACCCCCAAATCCCTGTGCTTCTTTTGTCGCAAACCCAGAAGGGGTTCCAAAAGGAACATCCTCTTCATTATGGTGCTTTGGTTCCGGGTTCCAAGCTGAAACTTTGTGTCTCGTTTCCCATCGTCTAACATGGTCCATGCAGAATGGTCCACTCAGAGTCTCATAATGTTACTCTCTGTACGGTTTAAAGAGAAACCACCGGAAACCACTTGAGAACACACAACAGCAAAACTCACGTTTAATCAAGACTCTGTCACTCATACTTTCTAAACTGTCGTTAACAAAGAAACCCCCGCACATCACGGTTGTCCCCTTGACACCCATGCTGTGTATGGCCAAAATCCATTTCGCCCCGCGTTGAAACCATGGTTGAAGCCATTCTTTGTTGACATTTACGGTTTCTGAACGGTGCTGGATATGGCGTTCGCATCCATCAGTAGCTTGACCCCCAAGCTTCTATCGGGAATGTGCTGTGCTGCCCGGGCAATGTCCATGAAGGTAGGCTTCAAAGAAGCGCCGCCTGGCAATTCAATGGCCGGAGAGAACTTGCTCCCACCAGGTTGCCATGCCCAGGGATTCACAACTTGCATTGGCATTTTCGCCCCCTGGACGAATGATAGAATAGGTCCAGCAGTGATAGATTTCCTTTAAAACCAACAGGGGAAAAGAAATAATGTTCTGAAGCAAATGGAAGATTCAAATTCCCTAGGCAAGGGAAAAGCTCTGGCGGCCTACCATAGAAGTACCTGGGATTGTTGCCGCATCGAACAGAAAGACTCTTCAAGAGGAAAGCGGGCCTTCCAAGTATGCTCCCACAGACCTTGTTTTGGTGGGAAGTAAATGGTACTGACCAAAGTGGACCATCCATGACTTCTTGATCCCTAATATCTCACAGGTGAACGAAAATCCTTTTCTCCAGTATGTGGCTGTTAAAAAAGGGGGGAGTCTGGCAAGATAAATCATATCCATCCTTGTTGGGTTTCCTTCAGGGGAAAAATCAACTGTTGGGTTGACTGGGGGCACCCCCAACTGAATGGAGGCCAGCTCTTGCTCCAACATGTTGATCAATTTAGCACCAGGCTCACTGCCCAAAGTCAGCCGGGTTAGCGTTTTTTTGTTGAGGGTTCTTTCTTGGCTTCAGGGGAACCAACAAAGCCACCATGTTCGGGTTCCCCTAAAATGGGCACATGCGGGGTTGTCTCAAAATAGGAATCGGAAATCCCAAAGTGGGGGGGGGAGTTCTTTGGTTTCCCTTTAGAACCACCCAACAAACGGTAGCCTCAAAAAAGACACCCACAAATGGTGAAGGGTTGCACTTTAGTGGCAACTCACCTGGGATTTGGGTTCTTCTTCGGCATGGCCTTGGGGAACATGACTGTACCCACTCGAAGGGGCGATCGGGTACTTAGCAAGTGGTTAGTAAGCCTGGTGAAATAAGCCGCAGCAGCCGTGGTTGTAAAAGTGTGTTATCTCACCAGCGGGTTCAACAAAAAACACGTTGGTCGGTGGGCCTACCAGGAAGCCGTCGATGTTGGGCTTGGCCATGAGCTCCTGGCATTCGGTACGCGCCAGTTGGGTGTATTAAACTACCCGGAGGGGTTGGTTTCAAGGGAAACCAAACTCAGTTTCCTAGTTCGGACCTGGACATAAGGCTGATCACCTTGTTGGGTCATGACCAAAAAATGGCCCAACATGGGGAAACCAAAAGGTTAAAAGGGCGGCTTTAAGCGACTGAGTTTAAGGGAAACCAAAGGAAGCCGACGCCTATCTTGCGACCCCCAAATCTCTTTGCCATATGGCCAAGCCCCAGAGAAAACTACCAAAGTTTCTGCAAGAGGACAGCATACCCATCTGAGGTGCTGAAAAAACAAGTACCAAGCGGACATGGGAAACTTTGGTCTATAATGGTTGGGGCTGTGGGCAATTCGGGGCGGGCTCCCATTTCCTCCCCAAACCAACAGTAGACTACGATTCCCAGTGGATGGCAGTTCCACCACATAACCAGCCTTTTCCTGGCAATGAATTCTACTGGAGGATTACCTCCCTCATGTTTTCTCAACACCCATGTACCAGCCAAACAGTTGCCAACATTAGGAACATCTTACAGAGGCGTGGCGTCCCGATCTCTGCCCACATGGACCATGCTCAAGGCATTTTTCTCGTTTCCATTTCCCTCACATCTTGGTGGAAACCACCAGGGTGGGTTTTGGCCCAAGTGGAAATCGCAAAGAGTGCAAACTAAGAAGAGTGTGTTAAGCTGGTTTTGAACATGCTCAAGTGGTTGGTGCTTGCAATTTCCACGTGCCCATCCATTTTCCTGACTTTCCTGAAGCACAGCCACAATAAACTTGCTAAGAACCATGCCCCAAAGCCTATCAAACACAATTTAGATAAACACAGGCGGTTCTATCACAACCCCCCTGTTTTAATTGTGGATTGAACTTAGTTTGAGCATGCAGGGAACATCTGTCAAGGGCCAAGGGCCCAGCCTTGCAGTTCTCTGGCGTGACGCTGCCTCCATACTGGATGCGCACCTTGGATTGACCAGTCGACCCCGAGCGAGCGGTCTGAGGGCAACGACAAACGCGGGGGAGTTGTTCTCGCAAAGGGTGGGAGGCCGGCATTTGGAGGAGCCCCTTTTGGTTGGTTTTGAAAGGAAACCAAAAGCAATCCAGCCATTTTGGAGTTTCCCCCATTTCAAGTCGCACCTGGTAATTATTAATATGGAGCCTGCCTGGAGTCCTCCATACCCATCCTTTCTCCAACAAAGGGTCACGCCATGTTTTAGAAACTACGGGTCTAATCATGGCCTTGGCCACAAAGGACATTGGAACATGTGCTGTCTCGTGGTGTTTGTGCAAAATGTCGTTCTGTCCTCCCCAGGCCCACATCAGACTACAGTAATTACAGTTCTCAGTTGCCCAAATGGTGCGATGCAGTGGCCACATCCCGAGTCGCGGGGAGAAAAACAAGGTGGGAACCCACTTCTAAATCCTAAAAGGTACCCTCCCCAAAACAAACAAAGGTTGACACCTCCAAAAACAAACCTGGGTTCAACTTTGGTTCTGAAAAAAGGGAAACCATCGGGCAAACAAAACCGCACGCAAAACAAACAAAAAAAGCCACACAGAAACAAACAAACAAACAGGCACCGCTCCACGCCCCCCCTCCCCCCCAAAAAAAAAGAAAGAAAGAACAAAGACACGGGTTGGAGAAGGAACCCTGGTGTGCCTCGAGCCAGCGAGCGAGCGGCCTTGTCAGCCACTTCGGCGCTCACGGCTTCCTTGATGTAGTTTCGGATGGCGGCCTCGCAATGGGGTTGTCTGCAAATGGGCCCATGGGTCCGGTGGGTCCTGAGCTTGGGTTCCAAGCTTTTGGGGAAGTTTCGGGAAGTTCAGGGTTTTGGCAGAAGATGCTGGAAATCCTTGAGTGTGTGTGTGTGTGATTGTTGGTGTGTTTTTGAGGCTACCTGTTTAGGGTTGGTTTAAGGGAGAACCAAAGGATTTTTTCGGGGGGTCTTCCTGTTTTGCGGTGTGTGTTTTTGAGGGTGACTTCTTTCTGGGGCGGGGGGAGGAGGATCCAACACCAAATCCGCGATCCCCTGGGTCACTAAAAGGGGGATGCCTTTGCCATCAAGTTCAACACAGGATTTGGAGCACCCCAACGAGTTGTCTGGCTAAATCCCTTCTGACATGCGGAGCGATCCAGAACTGACGGAATTCCAGCGATCTGACATGCCGATTCGTGATTCGTGGCCTTCCGAGAGCTGCAAAGCCTTGAAGCCCTCTGCTGAAGTGAAGGGACAACTCCCTCTATTCTAATCTGGTCAGGTGCGGCTGAGAAAGTGGAGCTCTCATGAAACACATTGTCCCAAGCCGCCCCCACGAGAACTATGTTTCCTAGCTTGCAAATTGTCGGTCTTTGCTACCTGCAAGCAGTTGCAGATCTTGCCATTGCTTGCGAGTGGACAAAGCATGACGTCCCAGAGCGGAGGTTCCTTTTGGGGATTGCACTTGTTGCTCTTGGGTTCCTTCGGTTCACTTTGTAGAGTAACCAGCCAAGGGATACCTAAATCTGCCTTTCGGGCTGGGGAAACGGAAGTGCGGCTCCTGTGCCTCGCAATCGCTTGACCGCCGAGGACCGCTAGTCAGGGCAACCCCCCTAAAATACATTATCATTATGGGAAGTCAAAATCAGTTTGCACACCCAACATGTAGCCAGAATTGGGGGCCGGATTGTTTCCCCTGAATTGGGACAGGCTATATTTGTTGTTTTCCCAAGAAATGAGGGCCAGAATTGGGGTGCCATTTGCCCGCCGATTGTTCATAGGGATTCTTGAAGCTGTGGATGGACGAAATCCTGCACCACCCAAAAAACCCTGGGGTGATGCTTCCCCTGTAAATACCAACAAAGAATGGTTTGCTATGATTTCAAAGTGGTGCGAAAAGGATTTTGTCCACCCACAGTATCGCGGATGGCTTCCTCCCGAAAGACCGGCGCCTGTGTCTCCTCTGCCTGGTCAGGGGTGGCCACCTTGCCAGTTCCGATGGCCTAAGTGCAGGCGCTGCTGGGTGCTGGGTGCTGGGAGGTGGGTGGTGGAAGACCCAGCAGTTGTGGAAGACCCAGCAGCCCTTTTGGGAAACATCAAACTAGGCACCTTGGCCGTGCTGCTGGTGGGTGGGTGGTGGGTGCTGGTGGGGGCATCTTTCTGACCGAATCTCCTTCCAAAGTGTTCAACTCCATTCGAATTATCTAGGCCCGTGTGCCCACAAAACAAATGGATTCGGCGAGCGTGACGTAGTTGTTTCTTCTTTTTTTTCTTCCGTAGATGGTTTCTCAGATGATGGACGGTAGGTAAACTTGCTGCTCCTCAACAGAACATCATGTGGGTTTTGGAGATGAACCTATGCCCTAAAGGAAACCACGTTGGGTGTTGCACACAAATGATTTCCCTTCCCCTACTGAGAGCCAGCAAAAAAAGTAATGCCTAGTTTAGCTCTCAACTGGGGTGCGGGACTCCCATGCTTGCGGTCTGAAGACTGCAGGCGAGGTATCGCAATGCCCATACTGTTCACCCATATTCATGAACCCCTGTTTATTGATATAGGGGTGCCCCTGGTTTTAGTGGGGGTTCGTCACTTTTGGAGGGGAACACCCCCATATTACTACACTGAGGTTGATTTTTTCTTGGTCCACAGTAGTCAATGACTAACCTCCCGGTGCGGTCTGAAATGTACCGAGCACGCTACCCAGACCGGCTCGTAGGCGATGACCATCAGATCCTGCATAGTGAAGCTGAAGGCCCAAAGACAATAATCGCTCTGGGACTAGACACCTGGACGCGCGCTTGGAATAGGAACTTGGAAGCATGGTGTTCAACAAAGCAACGAAAACATGTGTCAGGAAGCATGCCGTTCAACGAAAAACAAATCAAAGAACAATGTGTCCTGGGGTAGTTATGTCACTTTCAACAAAAGCACCGTGGTAGTGTCCAATGCATAAATGCTGAATACAGCGTAAAGTGTGCAAACCTCGTCATTTCTCTGGCATCGGGGGCATAGAAGCCTGGTTGGTTGGTTGGTTAGTTGGTTGGTTGGTTGGTTGGTTGCTTGGTTGGTTGGTTGGCTGGTTCCTTTACCGCAACTTCAACTACCAACAAATGTCTTTTGCCCATGAGCATTTGGGCATTGATGTCTCAAGGAACGCTCAATGGCTATTTGTAGTGTTGTCCAGCTTCCACCAACCAACCAACCAACCAACCAACCAACCAACCAACCAACCAACCAACCAACCAACCAACCAAACCAGCCCGCCGACCGACCAACCGACCGACCAACCAACCAACCAACCAACGAAACCAGCCCGCCAACCGACCAACCAACCGACCAACCGACCGACCGACCAACCAACTCACCAAACCAGCCCCGACCAACCGACCAACCGACCAACCGACCGAGCAACCGGCCCGTCGACCGAGCAACCAACCAACCACCCCCCCGCCAAATAAAAAATAGTAAGGTACCACTTGGTCCAGTGCGTTTAGTACCTTATCGAGATGAGCAACAAGCTGAGATAGGCCAAAAGCAGGAGTTTCTCTTGAAACAAGTCCGCCCAAGGGAAATCGAAAACTCAACTTTAGCAAGGGTTGATTTCCGAAGACAAAACATTGGGATGATGACACGCCGAAATGTGCCATGGTCAAACTATGTGGTGAACTAAAGGACATGGAGAAATTAGGGTTCCGTTTCTGTGACTGACTTATGTTTGAAATTTAGTGAGTCCCCCAATGCTTGAAGGGAACGGCCAAGTTGTTCGTGATAAAAGAAAGACCTTCCTATGACTAAGTCTCAATTTAAAAGGGGTTCCCGGGTTCCTGGTATCATAAGTGGGTTTTCCCAACCCTCCACTCTCACAAGCCTGATATATTCTGACAGAGCCTTGAGTGGAAGCATTGAACACATCGATGGCATTGGGAAAAATGATTGCAACAAACTGAAACCAGGAAGGGGTCCATGGTCTGGAGGACCCCGCATCCCACCCTCCCGTCCCAGTTGGTGACTTTCGGAATGACGGCCGCGAGCTGGCGCTTGTTCACCTCGTGCCATAGCCCAAGACATGGGTATGACTTTTCAGAGAGGGTCTCAGACCCTTTTGTGGACATTTAGGTGAGGATTTGTGTCCGACCACTTTTGAAGGGGCAGTTGCTTCTTGTGGAAACTTGCCCTTGCTGAGATGTCAATCTGGGCGTGTCCCAAAAGCCGGGGCCCTACGGGTTGTGTCCGTGGCAACCTACCCAGTTGTCCACAACAATGGCCTAGAAGTCGAAAGAGGTCTCCAAATAAGGATGAAAGTTCACCCCGGGCCCTCTGTTGAATTGACATACATTGGGATTGACGTCCACCAGCCCTTTTGGGTGCTCCAAAATCCGCAGCTCCGCAATTCGTGCGCTCTCTGCGCCCCTAAAATTGTCCAAATACATATCCAAAGAGTTTGTTTCCCACTAAACTGATAACCTCATGCCGCTTCCCAAAAAATAACATGGCATTGTTGCCATGAGCATTGACCTTTACACAGGAAATATGTAGCACCACTCGGAGTATCCCGAACAGCGCCAGCTCGGAACCTGCCTACCCCCTCCGGCAAGCTAGGGAATCACGCAAGCTCAAAGGAAGCTAGCTGGTTTCTGGCGCAACGCCGCTAAAGCATCCACTGCACCAAAAGCTCGCTTTTGTTCTCTTCAGTTTTGAGGTCGACATCATTCTTCAGATTTGACAGGATCCACCGGGTATCACGCTGTGTCACAGCAGAAATTCTGACCACCCCAAAATGGTTGGTGTCCTTGTTGGTTTACCTTCAAAGATACGCGTTTAGCCAAGAATTCTACTCGGGGCAACCCCCCCAAGGTTGGCAGGCATAAATCCCATTACATGTGGCTAAGATAATACACACTTTATCATCTTGTGATCTGGGTGTCTTTTTCTGAGGGTAGCCCTTTTGGTTGGTTTTAAGGGGAGCCAAAAGAGCAACCCAAACAAGACACAGCCATCTTGACGATGGTTTCGAAGCAGGGCTGCCACGACCCCATTCTAACTATCCAAGGTCCATTGTTCTCGACTAACTGGCTGGTGCATGGAAACCTTCCGTTTGCCATTTGCGATCAGTTGTTTTGTGGTGAACTAATTAGATCCGTCCACTTAATGCCGACCTGGTGGATTGCTAGGGGATGTGTCAGACGAAAAGTGAAGGATTTCGCCAAAACTGGGGTGCCAGCTACAGTATCAATCAACCAAAGGGTATTTCAGCTGTTGTTGTAGTTGATGTTTGGTGGTTAAGGGCAGTTTCCCATTTACCTACAAGAACCAGGGGTGCAAATCCAAATCCAATCCAATCTAAACAACCAAATAAGGGATGCTTGATTATTCCCTGCCAAAAACCAGCCAGCAAGAAAAACCGACCCCAAAGCAAAACCAACGGTTCAGATCGCCTCGTCTGTCTTCCCGGACTCGCGCTCCTCCAAGAGCTCACCAATGCAGAAGAGCACCTGAAAGGATGTTCTCAATGCTTTCCATGCTAATTTGTCTGTTTTAATAGAATTTGATAGGTTTATGAGCAATCTCAATTAGCAATTCAGTACAATTGAACAACGTTGGCCCTTTATTACAATGTCTATGTTGAAATGGAATGGAGTTTATTCAAAATTGACGACGGGACGGAACGCAACCAGGAATGATATGTAAGGACCTGCAGATGGGACATCTTTCAAGAAGCATGTGCTTTGGATTAGATGGAACATAACGCAACAGGAATGATATGCAAATGATATGCAAATGGTAGATCGGGGGCTTAGTATGTATGATATATGTATATATGTATATAATAGTACACCTATATACGGGTATGTGCTGACAATCTTATATTGGTGGTATAGCCGCATCAATTGAAACCATCCTTATATTTAAGCTTCATTTTAGCTCAACCCTGTGTATGGGGACATATATCTATATGGGTATTGTACTACATGCTACCTCCAACACCATTGCCTGAAACTCCCCTTCCTTGACACAAACCTTTGAACAACCCTAATGATCATGAACCTGCCAGGCCCCTTGTTGGTTTACAGGCAGGGGGACCCCAAAATTTCTGGCTTTCCTTGTGGTGTCCCTTTAACGTACCCAACAAGATACCCTCCAAGAAAAGGAAACAAGCGAGACAAGCCCCCTTGTGAGGCGTTTGTTCACCCTTTTTGGGATGGATTTTGGAAGGGAAGAACAAGGAAACCACCAATTCACCCAGAAACCCACCAATTTACCAGCAACAATCCGATGGCCCCCCGGCCGTTTTTTCGGATCGATCGATCCGCCTTGAGGCCGGCGGCCTGGCACTTCTCCACCTTTGCCGCGGTGTCCTCATCGCAAACCGGGCGATCGATGGGAATGGCAGTTCCACCAAGTCTTCAGCCAAAAGGTCAGAACTTGGCTTCTGGGGATTGGGAACACAAAGGACTTGGTCGACAGGGCGTTCTGCCCAAGGGTGGTGGATTTGGGCCAAACGGACTAGTAGGGCTTAGGAAACTAATTGGGGCAACCCTTAGGGCTATGGATGGGCCCTCAAACTTGATTTTAGACCTCAAAACCAAGTTGTGGTGGGCAGGGTTGTGCGATTCGACCAGTTCAAACATGGGATGTTTAAGACCAAGTGTTGAAACAATCTCCCTTGCGCTTCTGTTCAAAGTGGTCAGGGCCAAGATGTTATAAGCACAACTTCCCAAACTGTACCTGAGCTAAGAGGAGAAGGGCACTGGAAGTTGCAGGATGAACAAGCTGGCGTTGTTTTCCGGGGAGGATAACATGACAAATAGGGCGTCGGGTTTCGCAAGATCAAAACTGGCTTACCCCAAAGCGTTGTCTTTTGCAAGCAGGCAACCAATATATTGTGGGGTTCACACCGGTTCCAACTGGATTGTCCCTTCACACAGCACACTGTGAGAAAACTCTCTGTATTTGTTGTGTTTTTTTGCCGAAAAATATAGTCGTAGGCATAGATTCGCAAGAAAGCAGCTGAACAAGCGGAGGAGAAAGGGCGCTACTCAACTGAGAAAACCAAACAACACGGGGTCCCTACCTTTGACGAGCGCCCACGAGCGAGCCTTTCACGAGATAAAGGAACAATTGGTTTTGGCAGCATACACCCGGACCTTAGGTGAGAAAGGTAAACGCAATTAACGGGGGGGTGCCATCCTTTACTTTGGACACCTACAGAGTCACTCGGAGAGGAACTTTAAGAGGATGTATCTGTTGTTCTTCCTCCTTGATCACAGAATCTCGATCAAAGCCAATGACTGAGCTGTTTGCTACTTGGCGCCTCTAAATTATGGAAAGACACAAGGGTCTGGAAACACAATCAAGAATCTATATGTTTCTTTTGTATTTTTCCGGTTCCCAAAACTTGCCTTTTGGTTTCCCTCATGAACCAAGCCCAACAAAGGGAAGCCTCCAAAAAAACACAACCACCTTTCTGCATCAGGGGGGGTGGGGGCGTCAAAACCACCCACAAAATCCACCTTAACAAGGAGGGGGGTGGGGGGGTCTCTCAATTCCATGTTTCTAGTCTTCCCCACAAAAGGACCTCTCCCCAAGTCCATTTTTAAGGGGCTTCATATCTCGCTCATTCGACGCACCAGGAAGCGCGTTCGCCTCGTCGGACTCTCCGTACTTGCTGCGCCGCTCGGAGTGGCCGATGAGAGTGTAGCCAATCTGGCGCTTGCCAAAGCATGGATGTCTGTTCTTCAGGGTACCCCCTGTTTGGTTGCAAAAAAAACACGCAAATGGCGAGCGGCAATTCGCCAATTCGAGGAATTGAACATGTCGGCGCAAAGAACATCAGCACCCTCCATTTTCTGAAGCTGAAGGCGTCTAGATATTTTTGCAGGTGCTCTGAATGCGGGGCGTTTCTAATTGGAATCAAAACAGTGTGGTCCATGTCAGGTCCTTTATGGTAGATGACAGTGGCGGTCAGTCACTCTGTCGAACGCACCGTGAGATAACGGGAGAACGGTCGACTCACTTGCGACAAATGCGACATGGGACGTACTGGGACGTGGTCTACGTTCCATGGGAAGTCTCGCGTGGTCTTCGAATGACCTCAGCTGCAAATCGGACCCCCTGCTCAAATTGCAAATGGGAACCCCTGCAAATGGGAACCCCCCTTTCGTCCCAGTGGATAACGTTTCTTTTATATGCCATAATCTTCCGAAAAGGAGCCATCCCAAGGTATCCCATGTCTTTGGATAGCAACTGACACATGCGGTTCACTGCAAACGAGTCCAAAGGACTTACAAATCAACTCACCAGAAGGGGTTGCCATGAATCGAAGTCCAAATCTGTTTGAAGCCAAAGGAAAGCCACATGGTCCACACTTGCAGCTGGGCCTACTTGTCAAAACATATGCATGTATCGAGAATGTTATATATATATATATACATAGCTCCCTGCTTCGCGTTGTTGCGAACTTTAAAATGTGTCCACCAACATCCCGCCGCCTCGGTCCTCTTGGCATGGGAAAACTGGACCCGAACGGCCGAACCACCCAACCACCAGCGAAACCGGGAGCCTCCATGTCCTGCAAATGCCCTGCCTGAAAGCCGAGTGAGCTTCACGCAAGAGGTCATGCAGCCATTGGAGAAGCAAAGTCCCAAAAAAAGCTTCCTTAGCCTATCTGGAGGAGAATTCATCGGTGCCATGTTTGGGGGACATTGAACGGGCACATTGGCTTGATACCTAAGACTAGAACCTGATAGCTCGGCGATCCAAACCACATTGTATTTGTTTGACCACCCCAACCTAAAGCCCCGGGGTGTCCTTTTTGGGGGCAAACAGATCTAGTTTTAAGTCTACCACGCAAACAACAAATGGGACCCTAGGGTAAAGAGTTCCCCATACTCCATAGCTGTCGTACTTCGAAGCGGAGTAGGTCCCGGAATGAAATCCCAAGATATTATTCCTTTTTCATTTGAGGTATTCAGGGGCACATCATTTCCTCTCCAAAAGCTGCAATGTGCAGGTGCGTTTTATGAACATTGCCTAAAAAGGGAGGCCCTAAAACGGAAAATTGAGGCACTCCTGGATTCGACACTTGTTTCGAAGCCGCATCGAGTTTGAACTTCCACTGAGAAAGGCGCGGTCCATTCTCCAGTGAAGGCGCCCATGTCGTTCTTGCCCACGTTCTGCGACGCCACCTTCCAGCCACTGGGCCCGTTACGATTGGATTCCGCCTCAAGAGAAGTCAGAGCTCATATCCCAGAGGACCAAAAACCATTGCAGTTTTTCACCAACTCCGTATGGACTTGTTTCCGCACCAAAGAATCAGTTGGGGCAGATCAAAACATATTTCATTAGTTGGCTAAAGCAAGACTATGTGGCCAATGAGAAACATATGTTTGCCACGCTCAGTACGCTCAATATTGATTGTGCCCCCATCTGACATGACACTTTGGCAGGCAATCCCAATTTCCTAATGGTATTTTGCCAAGTCTTCCCATTGTCATCCCCTGTACCACTCAGGAATGGCAGTAAATAATGACCGTTGCCCCAGTGGGCTGTGAAAAGCCAGGCAAAGAACCTCACCAGTCCATCGCTATTTTTTAGAAACTCGCTCGCCACTTCTTTCAGGTCCTTTCAACTGAAGAAAGACAGCTTGAAGCAAAAACAGGACCTGCAAGTTGGATGGGGAAGCACAAACAGAGGTCGACTTCCGCGTGTTTTGGCCTGTCCTTTCGCTTTGCCTGCAAACCCACCCCAAAAGGTGCCTTCCAAAAAGTAACACCGCCAAAAGGGACCTTGGTGTGGCTCAAAAATAAATGACTAAGGTTGCAGGTTTTCGTCTTTGGTTCCATTTACCAAGGTGCCATTTTGGTGCATGTTTTGCTACATGTAGAGGGCAATCTTGGGATGTCACTTTCGACCCTTTTGGATTGATTGTTTCGAGGTTCCTGGGGTCTGAGGGTTTCAGTTTGAGACAAGTGGCTGTGGGTCCAAAAGGAAACAGCGCCCCAAGAATCAAATTCTTAGAAGCCCTCCAAATTTCGCCACGTCAGCCCCCACCCCAACAAAACACCGATGACTTCCCTTTCAACCGGCCGCGAAAAGCGGTACCGTCCAACCCTGGCGCCGACAAGGCCTTGAAAACCGAGATTGGCGTCTTTGTAGGGATCACTGGAGTTGCCCTTAAGCTGCGAAACACACAACTGTTGGGCTCCATTCAATCTCAACCACTTTGAGAGATCCCAAAAAATAGGGAAATTCAGGGACTGCACAATCATGAAACTACAACCATGTGCTGTTTCTTTCCGTTTTGCTTGTGGGGGGGGGTCCACGTTGAATGATCCCCATAAACCATCCCTTGTGGTTTCCTTCAAGGGGACCTACGGGAGAATTCCCAAACGCTCTTTTGATTCCCTACTGACAACCCTAACATCATGACGTCAAAGGGGTTTCAGAAATACCTCACAACTCCATTCTAATTCAGGCCGATACGGTACGTACCCACATGCATACAGCCACCACGCAAGGGGTTCCCTACTAACCAGCAAGGTGGAATCATCATGGAACTACAACCATGTCCTTTCTCCCTTGATGTTTGCTTTTCTTTTCTCTTGTTTCCTTTGCTTTGTACATTCTTCTTTGGGGGGGCCGGGGAGGACGTGGACGCCCGAAAAGGTGGTCTTTGACGCCCGCGATCCACGCCAGGCCTTCATGCCAATCGCCTCCAGGGAACTCTTCACGCTGCCCAGATGCAGAGCCGTGGGGGCGATCACCACCTCCACCTTCTCCTAGCCGAAGAAAAAACGATCCCAACTCACGTGGAAGGGCCCCCATTTGGGGTGGAAAGGAAAACCCACCAATTCACATGAAACCAACAATGGTGTGATTGGCCTTTTGGTTTCTCTTTCATGTTGACCCATTTTCCTTCAACCCCGGGGGTCTCTCCAAAATGGTCTGATTCCCCACATTTCACCCAAACAAATACCCCCTTATACATAAACTGGGGTTGATACTGAGTGGATTGGCCCCATAAAAAAGTTTATCTCCGTTTATTCATAGGGGGTATCCCTGGACTTACCAGGACACCAGCTCAACACCAACTTCCGAGTGGATTGGCCCGAGAAAAAAATACCCAACGTTTAATGTTTGCCACTGAAATGGCAAAGCCTCAAAAAGTGACTAAAGTCCGACACGATACTCGAGAAGTGAGCCAATGTTGACCCCATAGTGATCAACCCCAGTTTATCAATAGGGGGGTGGCGGCGCTCCAAACAGTGAGGAGTCCCCGCTAAATCCGGCAGTTGGGATGGATGAACCTACACTAGGGGATTTTATCCCTACCAACTGGTGCAGGATATGGTCTGTCCACAACATAAAAGAACCCTTGATGCATAACTTCGCAACCAAGCAAAACGTGACATCGCTATCATTTTCCCAAACATATTTTGACGTGTATAGACATTTGGACCCCCTGAAAGAAATTGTCTGCTATTCCCTTGGGCAACCTCAAAAGAGGCGATAACACAGGCTAGATCTGGACCACCATGACTCAAATTGTTCCCACAGCACCCCACGTTCGCCCACCGGCCGCAAGGGGCGGGGTTGTTGTGAGGTCTTGAGACGAAGGGGGCCTCAAAGCGAGAGGGGCGACACTTCTCCCCCCTTCTACACAGCCTCGCTTGCCGTTCTATGAGCTACCCCCCGGTTCCCGGCTTGGGTGTGGATTAGACCTCTTTGGAGGACCAGGACGGTGGCATCTGTGGATTGGGGCTCCTACTACTTGTATAGTTTAGGTGGGAGGTTTTTGGCGCCAACACCACTGACTGTTTAGGTTTGGGGGGGGGGGGGGGGGTTAAGGCTTCCGGGGACTACGACCACTGTCTCTTTAGGTTTGGGGGTTTCGGGTTTCGGGGGGCAACACCACCTTTCACTTTTTGACCACCACCGCTGACTCTTTAGGTTGGGGGTTCGGAGCTCGTGTTCCCGCTCGGGCCTCGGGCGCGGGCAAACGTAGGGCGCTGAGCGATTTTTTGTGATGCCTCCAACATGACAACGGCCAAAATTGCTTTTGTGTAGTACCGGCAAACATAATCGTGCCCAAGACCCAGGACTTAAATTGTCCCCTTTCCCGCATAAGCTTCAGGCTATGCATGACTAGCACGTGCTCCTTTTGCCATGATTGGAGGGAAATACAAAGAATAGCCGTGTTCACAGGATACCTAGTTTGGGACACACCCATTTCTACAAGGAGCTAAATAGTTAGCACAGGTCACACCCGATGAGTTGTGTTTATCGCCGGCCTCTTAGGGCCGGCCTATTTCACCTTCCAGAGGCCCACAGGCACAACCAGATTGGGTGTGGGCGTCGGGTGTTCCAAGTCCTACACAAATGAGATGAGTCTTTCCTAAAAGAGGTTTACATAATTCATTGATTTATATAGGCCCATGAGACCAGCTAGTTGACTCACCTGCTAATATAGGCCCGACCGGCTAGTAGAACCATCTACTAAGATGGCCTTTTGGGGTTGTGGACGAGCCGAAAAGCTCATTTTGCAGGGTTCCTCAGTGCACTTTATACCTCACCCTGCCCAGGAATTCGTTTAACATGTACTAGGAGGTGATGTAAACTTAAAACCCAACAAACAACATATGGATGCCATTCTAGAAATTGAGGACCCCCCCGAATGCTTGATGTCCTTCTTAGCAACCAAAAGGGAGGTCCAAAGGGCTTGCATGGTCCTTGTCAAAAGGCTTCTCCTTCCAAGCATCCACCAACGCCTGGCAACGAATCGAGGGCCCGAACATTGAGGGGAACAACAATCAAAAACGATGGCTTCCTATTGGTGTCCTTTGAAGCCAACCCAAAAAGGGGCACGCCCAATTTGGTTGGGAGTGAATGGCGTTGATGCTTGATAAGCTGGAGAATCACGGCGTACTTAAGAAGCCCCGAATAGAACATGTTCTAAACCCAACAACTAGGGGTGTATAAACCCACCAATGTGAAACCTGTACTCAACACATGACAATACAGAACGAAGCGGGCTTCTATCTGAAACGTATCCGGATACCCGCAAGGGGCGGGTCATAGTCAATAGCCGGCTTGCCGGTACCTGAGGGTCTACTCAAAACCAAGTCAGGAGTCCAAACAGCCGCACCTGCTAATTCAAGGGACTGTCCCCTAGTCATTCACGCAGGTTTTGATTGTGGCTCACATCAAAAGGCTCTTTGCTGCCATTCCAAAGCACTCAGAATTTTGCTTGGGGCAAGGGGGTTGTGCATTGTCAGGGGCATCACACAACTCGCAACTGGCGAAGCCTCTTATGCTAGCTCTTGTGGTAGCAACTAACCATAGACCAGTCAGCTACAGTTCATGTCCCATTGAAAGAAGGCCTCTTTGAAAGGGTCCTACGGGAGATTCCTTGAGGTGCCCTCACAAAAGGACCGGAATGAGACCACCTCTGGAAATGAGTAATCAGAGACAAACCTCGAGGGTACTCACGACCAAAGAACAACAGGTTTTACTTGTTTCCACTTCGGTCTTTACTTTCAAAACAAGCCTCATTTCTGGGGTTCCTCGCGTGCGTACACAGCGTCCATCGGGGCAATGCTTTGGCCAAGGCAATACTGATGGGTTGCTCAGGCCTGGCTTCACTGCCTTCAAGGCTGGGCATGCGCTCATCGGCACAAAGTGGTCGTTTTACATCCATACTGGCAACAACTGCTTCATCTTGGCATGGAAACCCAAGCTGGGTGCTAAATGAGCTCTGGACAAAAAGTGAACCATTAAGCCTATCTCCTTTGGGTGTCCTGTTGAGATTAAGCGATAAATCTACGATTTTAGCACCCAGCAAGTCATGTTGGGCAACTGGCCTTTGCGTCTGCCAGCTTGGCGGGGTTGCACTTCCAGTTGCCTCCGACTATGGGCCTCGCGTCGGTCTTCAGCGTTTCGCCACTGAAGTCGGTACCCACCCGTGACTATGTTCGCTTGAAAGGGCCGTTGAGGTGGGTTCCATGTCAGTAGACAGGCCAACTGCATCTGTCCTAGATCTTAAATGGCAAGTTCCTGGACAAATGCCAATGCAAGCACTGGCCGTTCAGTCCAGGTCGCTGGACACAAAACCCGATGGAGAGTTACAGGAAAACCGGAAGGGAAACTATTTCATACTGTCCCGTCTATGGGTGAAGCGAGTGTGCAGCGAATCTCCGGCCTGCGATTTAGCACTGCCCTGATTGGAAACCAGACTCATCCCAGCCCTCAGGGACAATTAACTCGGCCAGACTTAGATCACTGCAAAAGTCAAGTAGTTGTCAATTGGAGAACATGGAAAATTAGAGGAACCCAAAAGGGCAAAGCGGCAAACGCGTTGGTTGAGTCGGGTAATGCCAAGATATGCAACCCGAAGCTGCATTGCATTCCGCAGAAAGGTCGTTACAAGGAAACTGCACCTTCTTGGTTCAGGTTGATCTCCATTCGGAAACAAGTGGGGCGGGTCAAACATGAGCACCCCTGCATTCAACATGATGCCTGCAAGAGAGAGAGAGAGAGAGAGCGAGAACAAAAGATGCCAACCGGGTTGAGTAAGTCAAAGACCACCCTAATGTTTTGATCCTGAATTCAAGAAACCCAGTTGATTAATGGGATGCCATTCTGGAGGGGAACCTTTCGGTGGCTTACAGTACTAGTCAACCAGCTGATTCATCGGCTAGGTCCAGGTGCTCACAAGAGAATCAACACCAGCAGTCAGAGGGATTGCTCCCATTTGACCCATAGAAACCTCGCTGAAGAAAATTACAGGGTAGAAAACCTCCCAAACATCGTACGTTTCGTCCTCTCGGAGCTCGAATGGACTGCTCGATAAGCCCGCTACGTTCGCGGCATCACCTCGGGCGCAAGATAGCTTGAATGGACTTTTCTCTTCACTTCTATGTGGTTCCTATTGCGTCCTAAACTAAGGGACTGCTGAAGTTCTTGGCTATCTGTTTGATCGACTCAAGCACCATCAAATGCATGTAAAGAACTTGGGAATACACGATCGGATATCAGGCTCGAGTATTGACGTAGGACGAAGGCCTTGTTGGTTTCTTGGCAAAGAACCGTCCCCGCCCCCGAAGTCAGTTGCTGATTCCCCAATCCCCAGAAGGCATTGCGCCGAGGACCTAGGGACCATGTCCAAATTAGGGGATCCCTTGACAGGAACCCTTGATCCTTTGTATTCTGCCCCACCCCCTTGCCCAGGCACCCAGGCAAAACACCTAGCGATAGGCTCAAAGGGCGTGGATCGTGCCCAATTTGAACCTATTCAGGGCCCAAGGCAAACTATTCGTGTGGGATCCTTAAAAAAAACGGATCAAACAGGACTTTTGGGACCTCTGTATTTTTGTTGGTGACCCGCTGTAGTCGTGGGCTTCCTTCTGTTGAACCCAGGCTGGTTAGGCATAAGGCAGTGCACGGTTCTCTACAGGTTTGCCTCGAACAGCGGGAGTGCGTCGATTATTCTGAGAGGTGCCAAGGCTTGGTTCCGGACACTTCCGGGAGAGTTTCGTTCGGGCAAGCGGTTGGGGAGCGGTTGGGCTTCCTGAGAAATCCTGGTGGCGTAGGTCCTACGGGTGCTGTGGGTCCTCAATCCTTGAACCACATGGGTGTGGCTCAAAAATTAACAGCCAGGGCACCTCAGTTCTTCGTCTAGTTTTCCATTTCCCCGGGTTCCATTTTGGATACCTGTTGTTGAGCCACACCCATGAATGAAGAAGTTCTCCTTGGACAACAAACACAGGAATGGTGCATGAGGCTCTGGATTTGAGAAGGGAAAGGTTCCAAGTCTCCAAGCAACATCTGAACACCTTACCGCCCGCAACAGGTAGGTAGATCTACAACACTCTAGGTGCTAATCATATTGACTTGACAAATCACCGTAAGTCACACAGACATCTTCAAGCAACAGGTGATGCTCTTTCTTGGGGATCCTAATCATTTCAAATTGCCGAGTCACGGCCAACTTGCAGTTGCTCGTTGCATTCAGAAACCAAACCACTACTCAAAGACCCCACCCCGAACCGTTCAGCCCATACGCGTCCGAGAATAACTATTCAGCCACCCCCGTTTTGCAACATCATTGCAAAAGGTGGTTGGGGGCCCCGGTTGACCTCAGCGCTGCACTCTGGCAAGGAGCTGCAGGGTGATCTCTTCGGGCAGTTGTTGCGATGGGTCGCGATGGACTTGAGCTCAATGGCGCGCGCGAACGGACAGACTGGGCTGCAAAGTGCGTGGCAGCAAAACGTAACGAGCTGGCTGACAAATGCGCATGGAAAAAGTGATATAGAGCTAATTCACCACTGTACCCCGTGCCAGTGAGAAGCACCAGCTTGGTCTCAAAGGAAATGGAGGGCTCCCCTCTTGGAAGCATCTTGACAAATGGGCAACCTTGCCCGAAGGAATGATCCCTATGAACCATGCTTTGTGACTCCTTTCAGGGCTCTTTGGATTCATTCCTCAAAAAAGCAACTGATTTCCTATTGAGAACCAGCATGTCGTTTGGAGGTAGGGCTGCTAAGCGCAACTTGCTGCAAGGCCCTGTCCACAAAGGCTCTCTTTCAGCTTTCGCTTGCATTTCCAAAAATAAACAAGAACACATCGGCATGTGAAAGGTTCGGCTTCACCAGCAATAGGCACATGAATGTCTATACACATGGGCGTGTCTCTTGCTAGAGGTCCCAACATTTGGGTTGGTTTCCTTTTGGTTTTCTTTAAAGACCACCAAAAGAACGGGTACCCTCAAAAACGACGCACATGAGAAGTCCAGAGACAGAGTTACAGACCCATGGCTTCAGCTCTCTCTTTGCCAGCAGAGTACCGTGCCGGGGCGCATTAACGCTATGCACAAACGGGGCCTTGCAGACCTGGGCTTCAAATGTCAAGGGAACCGGAACCCTCCCTGAATTGGATTCGCTTGTCATCGATTGTTGTGAAGGATGAGTTTTGGGGAGGGCCTCCAGTTTGGAATCAAAGAAGGCTTCCGCCCCTTGTCATTCGCCGCCGTTTCCGGGGCTGTCGAAGCTTTCTGGTCGCAAAGTTCCGTGCCCCTTGAAGGTCTCACACAAATCCATCTCAGGGGTCACTCGGCCTGGCCGCGTGCCAATACCTGGCCACACCGGAAATCAAAAGAAAATCCAAGTCAAGGTTCTGCTTTGCATTCCCGACCACACACACATGGGAAACCTGATGGTCCATTTGCAAGCGGACCTTTGAGAGCACACATGGCACTTCTGGTCTAAGGAATTTGCATCTCCGCCCATGAGAAAGGACTACTTGCCATTGCACTTTGCATGTAGATCTGTTGGGCCCTTTTTTTGAACCCCGTAACAATCTGATTTCATTGACGTCCTGGGCTTTCTCGGTATCCAAGGGTGGGGATCCTGTTACTCGCGGAACCGCTCCAGGGTCATTTGACATGGCGCCTCCACAAGTCCGCCAGCAGTTGCCGACTTCTCTGGTTGCCAAATTCGGTAAATTGGGAAAGGAATTACAAGGTTAACATCAAACCTTTGTCTAATTGAAGGCTAACAAGCTGGGTTTGAACAAAAAAGCAAATATGTGTGTCATCAGCAAGGGCCAACACTTGTTTTTTTAGCTGGGAATTCTGGACCCTTCGCATTGAATCTGTGTCGGGCTTTCAGATGGACGGGGCCTAACGCTTGGCCTGCCAGACATGATGTAGCCGGAGAGCTTGCACTCGGGACACGGCTTCGGCAACACCTCTTTTTCGGGAACTATGGGGACCGGCATAGGTGACCTTTGGGAAAAATCGATTCGGGTACCTCTGGGTAAATGAGGCAAAAAAAACCCATCTAAACCCGTGGAAGCCATCCATGTCTAACTACACTAAGCTCCAAGCCCAAGCCTTGAGGTTGGAAAATGGATGTGCGGGTTGACATAGGGGAATTGGGGCGGAGGGGTGGCTCCCATGGGGCGCGCCCTTGCCAATGTTGGACGTTCTTTAGCAAATGGGGTGTCTTTTACATAAATATGTCCTAATTCAGGATTCTGCGACTCTTTTGGGTTCCTCAAATAATAGAAAGTTGTTCCCCCAAAACATGGTTGAACCCTCCTGTTGGCTAACCCGCTAGGAGACCAGGGGGCGGCTTAAACCAAACTCAAACCCTGGCAACGCCTCTGAGTTCCGACCGCGATCCCGTCACCGGGATGGATCGCGACTCATGTCCTGAGCGTCCAATCGACCGCTTCGGTTCAGAAGATAACTCCAGCTCCGATCCAAAAGTTGTCCAAAACCCGGATCCTGGGACACGCCCAGGCAAAATCAAGCAGCAATCTTTTGATGGGTTTCCATGAACCTCAAAAAGAGGTTGAAAAGCTCAATTGAAACCAGGGCTCATACTTCCCCTTACATTACCTCTACCAAGGAAAACTCACCGGCCCATACATATAGGCACGCAACCGCAAGGTGACCCCTGGCAAAAAAAAGAAGAAGAGAGCACCAACATGTTGATGTTTAAAACCACCCAAACCCCGATGGTTTGCATTGCGAAAAAGTCGTCCAACAGAGACGGGCACCTGGAAGGCTTTACATTGAATTGGCCAGGGGAATCAGTGCTTTTTTTTGTTTTTCGGACAAGAAACCACTAATGGCTGCTGTTCTATTCTGCTACAAACCTCAGCCCCGCAACAAGCCACCCCCCACACCCAGCCCCGCAACAAGCCAACCCCCCACACCCAGCCGCGAACCCACCCCCAAACCCCAGCCCAAACGAGAAACCCGCTGAAACGACCACCGCCAGCCAAACCCCGCAGCTCGACGAGGCCAAGCTGCGATGCGTAGGCCTGGATGGTCTCCAAAGGCGGGAAGCGCCGCTCCGCCTCGGGTTCGGTTTCCCACCAGAGCCGTGCAGAAATTTGGTTGGCTTTTGGTTCGGCTCTGGGCGGGTCGTTTGAAGGAAACATGTGTCCAAGGTTGGACCCCCAACATGGCTTAACAACTTTTCCTTTGGTTTCCCTTTGAACAACCCCAGAAAGGGTACCAAGACAAAAGAAGAAAACAAACAGACCCATAATCGCATTTTTTTTAGGGGTCACCGGTCGGAGGTGCTCTTCTTGAGGCTTTCTTGGAAAGGTTGGCTGAAAGAGAAAAACAAAAGGAACACGAATCTTAGGGCATTTTGACACATACCCAAATTGCGAACCTCTTTTTGGTTGGGTGTGTTGAAGAGCAGCCACTTGAAAAACGCCTTTGTGCTCCATGCCTTTGTTTGGGGTACTGCGGGAAGGCTCCTTTGGCAGTTCCCAGCTCCAGCCCCAAACCCGAAACCCGAAGTCGAGTGCTTTTGATTTAGTGTTACCATTTAAGTGGAGTAGGGTGGAATCGACACATGAATGGGCTGATGCCGGTTTCGTGGTTTTGGTTGGATTTGGTGGAGTCTGGCTGCTATAGGTGTGGTTTAGGCTCGGTTGGTTTCGGCTTTGGTTGATTTGGTTGCTTGGCTTTTGATTTGCTGGAAGGCTCATGATTTGCCGTTTTGGGGGCTGGTTAACATCAGCAGCACCGCCGGCCAAAACGGAGCATGAGCACTGGAAGTCGTCTTGAGGAGGTTGGGTCCCGACAAATCCGACCCCAAGAAAGGCCACGAGAGCGTTCGGGTAGATCAGCTTCCCTGGTGGTTTGGGTGGGAGGTTGGTGGCTTCCCATTTATGGTAGCTAACCCTTGGCCATGGTCGTAGTAGCCTTCAAAAGGTGGTTCTCTTGGGTACCCTAGCCCAAGACCCTAAATATGAAGCCCTACCCCAAGGACCTCAAACGACGAGGTCTTGGCACCCTGAGGAATGTAACACCAAGTGTCTCATCTGAAAACATGATCAACAACTGGCGCATCCTCCCCTACGTGCCTTCAACAACAACTTGGTCAGGGCACAGTCAGGGCGAGCCATTTTTAGAGACGTTTCAGACTCTTCGGGATACCATGCAAACATACAACCCCTGGTATGAACGCTCCGACTTCTGCTCACTTGAGCCGACCCGAAATTCGACCTTGGACTCGAACCCAACGGTCAGAAAGTTTGAGGCCTTGCAATACCCTGCAACCAGGTGCACAAACTCAGATGGGTCTTGGGGGTTTGGAATGTAGAGTTGACGTTCTCCGGGCTGGGAGGTTCTGTCATCAACGGTAGGATAGAACCAACCACATTGCTTCTTGTGTTCGTTCCGCCTGTCTTTACCCAAAACAAACGGTCACATGCAGGACAAACATTGCGATTCGGGAATCGGGGCCCTACAGTCTCAGGAGGACGCCTCGTTTCCGCAAGTTGGCGTGGCTAACATGAAAGGAAGCGCCCCTCTGCTGTGCTCATCTGCTTGAGGCAGAAACTTGGAATGCGTCTCGCAGAAAAATTGAGTCCGGCTCCAAAGGGTCGGGACATGCCAGCCTTCCTTGCATGTTTGCTAACAATAACACCAATGTTTGATCTTATGCATACGAAGGATGGGCTGCGTCTCCTTTCAATACCCTTGTTTATGTTAGTTCAACGGAACATCAGAAACTGACCCTCCAGACCTGGATATCATGGCCATGAGACTGGGGTGATTGGCTTCCCATAAAGGCATAAGGCATGCGGTTGCTAACGGATGAACATGTGGTTTGCTAACAAACAAAACTCGAGCTGCATACCAGGGTTCAATAGGACACATCAGTCTTTGTCACGCCGCATAGAGGGCAGAGCTGGCAGATTTTCGAGACTCCCCTGGACAGTCCCAAGAGTTCTCGTTAAGCGGTTGACTGCCCGGCTAAAGCGAAGGGGTGGCAAATATTTCAGGACAAAGAGTCTTCCCATCTCAATTATATGCCACAGGTACCCATTCGTGGTCCTAATGTTACCTTCGGATTCATCCGGACCGCGATCAGGGCTGGTTCCCTGTAGGGTCCCCCGGAGTAGTCCGAGGTTAACCTTAGTCTTTAAGGATGGTTCGCTTGATTTCCCGAAAAAGATAAACTTGGAGGACCAACCATTTCTCTTCAGACTTCCCTGCCTTGACCTCCTCGCTAAGCACTGCAATCAGCCTAAGCGCCAGGAGAGTCAAACGGAACAATGCCCTTGGCCCCTTGGCCCGTCCAAGAAATGGATAACATATGTTGCGCAAGGACATCCAAAATTGGGTTGTCCCCGGATTTCTGTAGGTACTTTGCTTTGTCCATGTCCTCCCAAATCAAAGAGTAGATC